AGTGTCCAATTCATGTTAGTAATGAAAAGAATAGAAACATAACATGAATGAAACTAATTAAATGCTCATATCGTAACTCTCCATGGATATTACTAATTTCGAAACTAAATATGTTATTATCGATTTAAATTATAGTTAGAACTTATATTATAATGAATTATTAAGGCATATATGATATATAACAAACATAAATCCTGAAGTATTTAAAATCATGTGAGCCATAGAGAGTTAAGTAACTGTTAAATGAAACCATGACAAAAACAAACGCATGCAAGCAGACATTAGTTGTTCAGAGCGGACAGTCACAGTGTTTGTAAAAAATGAGAATTTCACGCAAGAAATTCATCAAAACTTTTAAGAAGAGCCACAAAATTTGTCTAATCATGATAACTTCAACGGACTTCAGAAAGTCTAAAGTAATGACTAAAAAAAGAACTATGATTTTGAAATCGTTAAATTACCTAGATGAATATTCTTGAGGGGCATGACCACGAGAGGCCGGCCCAACATATTCTGCCAACTAGACTTCAAGAAATTAATTTCACCTTTGAATATGTCAATCATGAGCTCATAGTCCGATGCGATGTAGAAGCGGGTCATATCTGTCAACTAGTCAATTCGGTGCGAGAATAAGAGGAAACATAAGAAAAGAAGTAAAGATACAAAAAGATGATAAAGCTTACCATAAAATGCAAGTATTTACCTGTGGTGTGAACGCGAATATCTTATCGTGTAAGGAATACAGTTTACTAGTGCTGAGAATTCCTACGTCCCTTGACTTACGCCCAGACAGTCCTAATTTTTTGTTACGTCCTAAAAACAAGATATAAAATATATACATATAATATCTAAATTATGCGCTTTAGTAAAATATTTTTAAACAATTTGCGATTTCGTTGAGTCATACCTAAATATGTATACAAATGACTGAGGACTTTTGCAGGTTGTACCTCAATCGGTGCAACTTCTGCAATTGTTTGTACATGAATATCGTGCTGCGCAATTTTTTCCCTGATTTCTGTATCTTCTGCCAAGATAACTACTTGTACCACAACATCCGGCTTTTTTTCGCTACATAATCGTCTATTTAAGGGATCTAACTCGCCAACTGCAAGAAATCCCTAAAAATTGAAATTATTGAAAATAATTATATTACGGAAATATTTTGTTATTAATGTAACAGTTAATAGGATTATTATATTGAACACAATTTTCTAGATTAAAACACTTTACATATATTGTATATAGAAGAAATAGCAGATACAATTATTAAATATTTAATATTTTTAATATTTGTACATAAAATATAAGATAATATGATTAAAAAATGTTATTAACTTTTTAAATGTGGTAATTTAAGGTAGTTCTTAATTTGCTTCAACTATGTTTCTGAAAGTATGTTACCTCTTGCAGCAATTTTCCTAGAATATAAAGAGATTGCGCCCATTTAAATGGACATCTGCCTAAAGCTATTCGATTTTGGCTACCAGGTTCAGCATATTCCGCTGATACATTCTCAGGTGCGACGGAGTATAATTCAGGCACCAATTTCATACCATCTTCCGCTTTAATCATTACTTCTTCCAACTGTTTGGTACACGTCTCAACTGCTTCTTTATTGCCTTGGAAGCAGTAATCCAATATTAAATAACAGAAGAATAGTGGCCATTCGCATTCGATATTTTCAAACATACGAAGCTCCCATGGTTCATAATACAATCTATTTCCAAGGATATAATTATTAGTCAAAATAAATTCTATTAGATATTATTTTATTAAATATTATTAAATAAATACCTATTTATATCCTCTTTTGGCGTTTTATATCCATCCCTTAAAAATCTTTTACAACCATATCGTCCTTGTAATTTCTTGGTAATAGCCTCGCGTGTCTCGTGAATTAAGTTAGGCTCATCCACTGCAAACGCAGGGAAACTTATAATCGATAGCAAACCACTATCCAACTCTTTAGAGTTTGACTCTCTAGGCAGCATAGATTGCAGTACTGCTTGACACTTTTGTGCCTCGTCGGCCAGAACATGAATAACTGATGTAGGTCCACCTCTTGCACCAAATAAATCCAATTCGTTCATTGCCTCCATTGCAGCCTTGGCCATTCCGATACTACTTGCATTTAATTCTGGCAAACCGTGATTCGTTTTATCCCCTCTCTCCCAAATTCCATAATCCGGAGTGCAATAGGCAGATTCAATATAAAATACCAAGTTCTGAATAAAAGCCACCTAAAATTAACAAGAAAATTGCAGTCCAGTTTCTTAAATCAGTAAATCTGGTATACATTACATACTATTATACAAATATTTATATTTGTATTATTAGTAAATAATACAATTAGAAAAATAGTACAATTTATAAGTTTACAGTATACAAATGTCAAATACCTCATCCAAATTGAAAACAATCTGTAAGCCAGATGCAGTCATTTGAGCCAGAATTAAAAGATATAGAGAAATTGCATCGATTTGAAGATGTCCCCATTCTGTATCTCCAACTACAGTTTGACCATTGGTAGAGCTATACTTTGCATGCAAGGCATCGTGTGGATTTTGAGTAGACTTGAACTTTTCCACTTTCTCCTTCTGCTGCATCATTGCCATCAGGAGACCCCTCATTAGTTTTACACAGCTCTGTTCGAGTTCGTATGTCTTTGCTCTATCTTCGTCAGCATCTGCTATCTTTTTATAAGCCATTGATAGGCCCCATACAGCAAGTATGCAATAAACGTTATCCCGTATCCAGGCATGATCATTGTCAGGACTTGCAGGAAAGAGTCCAGTAACAGGATTCTGATAATTCATGATTATTTTATGGACAATCCGCTGGTAATAGTCCAAACGGACGCCAGAGTTGCTTCTGCTACGCATTTTGTGCTTTTACTGTAAAAAAAAATGAAAAATTATGACTTTGTGTTCACATTTTCGAATCCAATAAGCTTTCTAATCAAATTATTAGTTTTACATGTATATATTCAAATCTTATATCCTGATAAGTCGCTATATCTAATTTCAATACATATCTCTTTTATGGTTTTTTATATATTAAATATACTTCTAAATTAATCATAAACTAGTCGAGATCACAAATAACTAACTTCATGAGTGAGATACAATAATGTAACTGATGATAACCGAACAATTTCTTATGTATATATATATGTATCTGTTATCGTGAGTCAAGAGGGGAAAGGTCAATTTATAAGTTAGTAATAATTATCGCACTTTTAAAGCGTTTAAATCATTGGGAGTAGAAATACCAATTTCGAAAAATTAGAAAATTAAAATTATCATGATCATTAAAAACTGCATGTATGTGTACCTCAATAACAACTGCTAATCTTTGATTCCATAAACTCTAGGTTTATCGATCAGATTTTCATAGTATCTGATCGAATACTAACAATAAGAGTAGTCTAAACGCCCGAGTTGGTGTTCTGTGAAAAAGTAGAACATTTTTTTAAGAATCAATCAAGTAGATATAACTAACAATAAGAGCTTTAAAACGCAATGTGAAACGAATGTCAAGCGAACACGACGCACACGCATGAATACATACATCTACGACGTTCCCAAATTGTTGGATGGGATCTTACGAGGATCCACGCATACGCAGTAACGAGCATCAGTCACGTATATATTTCGTTGCGATAAGTGGTACAGCCAGGCCCGCCACGAGGAAAAACAAAAAGATAATGAAAAGAGGCGATCAAGAGGAAGAGTAAATAACGTAGCGTGAATGACTTTAATGAATCTTATTAACGGTTTATCGTCTGCCTGCGTCGTCTCGTACGTGTCGCCACTGGCTGATGTGTGCATTGACGTCAACAGTATAACGTATATACTTACGTGTTTCCCACTTACGTTTATTGCCTACATCCTTCGCGACTTACAGCCGGTAATTTCAGTTGTCGTTTCTTAAGCATCGTGGACACTGGGCTTTACATTCGCGCTCCGCGTTCGATTATTTTTAATGTCACCTACTAATTATAAGAACCCGAAAATCTTTACGGGCTCGTCGCGAGTTTAGAATTGCTTTTCCGGAATGTTTTTCCTACGACTCCGCACTATTAAGTATAATGAACGTAAAATTCAAGATATTTAAAATTTCGGTGATCAAAACAATCCAATTTCACAAACTGAATCTCCACGACTCTGTTTAATTCATGTATCTTTCGTGGATCGCTGTATCGCTCCGCATTCTGCGCATTCTTTTTTTTTGTATTATTTGTGTTTGGTAAAAATAGAGATGAACACGTGATACGAGATCGCACGTAGATAGACGAATCTGTCGAAAATAGATTCTGCTACCTACTTTGTTGATAGAGAAACTGATAGGATTTGACATACAAATATGTTATTAGCAGAATGCTAGTAGCAAAGTTTGTCAATAAAATATGATTTATTTTAAAGATCAAGCAAACTTTGATATACTTCATTCAATATAAGCAAAACATGTGAATTGCTTAAATTGATGCCATCAATTTGCTAATTACAACAATTTGCTATCAATCTACTGGAAAATCAAACAGTTTGCTTATTAAAAATTATATACAAATTAGCACCTAAGAGTAAACTTATTTTTTTTTAAATAAGTAATGAATTTTTCTTTCTCATCTTTTTTAATAATTTTGTAAGAACTCAATTTTTTTACGTTTATTTGCCAGCAAACCAAGTATACGTTTGTATGCATTATTCACGTATGTTTATTACGAAAACATCGTGAAACTTTCGCATAAAGTTTTCGCCATAGTTTTCTTATTTGTAACAATTGCACGAACACAGAGCGTATACAGGTGTGTTCTTTGGAGCTGCACTACTTTCGATCTGCACTTAAAACAAAATGAATATACATTGCTATTTAGATATTGAAAAAAAAAGATGATAGATTAAGACTGCCGCGCTAATGAAAATCAATCTCCGATTTGTCTTTGTCATTTATCTTTTTTCAAAGTTTATTTGAAAAAAAAATAAATAAAAGGTCCATTTTATCATACACTGATCGCTTCTCGTTAATTCTAGGACACCCTGTATGCTGTAACTTAAAAGAAAGAGAGAGACGAAGAGACGGGAGGTAGAGAAAGACGGAGAGAAGGGAAACAGCGAAAGTGCAGCCGAAACGAAGAGAAGAGAGGCTCGAGGTTCTCGTTCTCGTACGTGCGACAGTTTGCGGCAGCCATCAGCGGTTATGGACTGATCATCGGTCGCTCTCGCGGTGTTGCGGGCAGCGCTCCGTTTCTTTTTTGTTTTCCCTTATTTTAAGTTGCATCCGCGAGAGCGTTTTGCTCCGTCGGATTCCCCGGAGTTTTCGTGCACGCTGATCCGATCGGGGATCCGCGACGCGATATGGCCGCGTTCGATCTTCCATGCTTTTCGCCGTTTGTATTGGTGGTCACGTTATTCGTCGTAACGATAACCTCGTCTATCAACGCCGCAACAGCTGGTACGTCCTTGGAATCATCGATGCCCAGTCGCGGTTCTCTGACCGAACCACTGTCGTCGACGGTCGAGCCTCCCAATGCAACGGGTGACAAGAAAGCGTTGGTGGTAAGTGCACTGGTGCGCAGTTGCGTACTGTGCGAACGCGCATTTTCCGTTTGAATTGAGTGAGAGAATTGCGCCAAATTTGTAGTCTAGTATGTCTCATCTTTCCTTTTTTTCTCTCCGATGTCTTGCGATCGTATTATATTTTATTTTGAATATGGATCAAAATTCAAAATGTGCAGAATAGAGCTAAAACAAAATAGAGCTAAAAAACAAAATTTTTGTTGTATGGAAAGTGTAATTGCAGTGTGAATATTTTTATTTAAGAACATATTTATAATTTATTTATTTTTTGTTATCGCAATACTTTAACTTAAAAAATAATAAGAATTTTATTGTATAAATATTTTAAGTATTCAAGATGATTTGTGCAAAATTTTATTACAATACAGGATATGTTTCTAAAAAGATCGAGATTCTTTACTGTATTATCTGTAAATCCCTCTATATTCTTGTTTTTATTTTTCTGTTTTATATGTTTTTGCTTTATTTCGTTTTAACTGTTTTCTTAGTATTCGGTTCTATAAATTCTATAGATTGACCTCCCCTATTTATTTTTTATTTCTGTCTTATACTTTCCTATATTTCTTATTTATTTAGAATTTATTTAATTATGTTACATATATTATTTTTCTCTCATTTTTGGATTTTGAAGTCATGTTTCATTTTTTTATATTTCTTATATTTGTTAATTTTGAATAATTATGTATATTTAATTAATAATTATGTTTATCAATTTTTTGAATAATTCAATTTTTTAAGAAGATAAAATAGTTTTTTTTATAAAGCAATAAAATATTTTTCAAGCGGTATTCTAGTGTAGCAGAAGGAGGACCTATAATAACGCCTCAACGTGGAATTACAACTGAATCCAACAAGCTTGACGAAACCAGAGCAAGAGAGAGTGCGCCTAAGGAGAGACATGCTACTTCTTCTGTGGTTGCAAGGAAAGGAGTTGAAGAAAAAATAAAACCGAGGAAGGGAGTTTCAGAACTTCCAGAGATAGCACCTACGAAAGGTATAGATCAGAATATGGACCCAGAGAAGGAAAATGTATTATTTAATCAGACCACTTTGGAAAATATGAACTTACCTATAACGGAAAGTAGTCCTGCGATAGAAACAGCTCATATCAAATCTGAAACTTCCAACGTTAGCCTCCCAAAATTAAATATCACTAATCCACGCTCTGATGACAGCTTAAATCACCGTATAAACTTCAATTACTCTAATACAAGTATACCGGCAAATGGGACTGTAGCTCATCTAGACATTATGAATAATGTGACGACGAAGACATCTTTACATGTTGAAAAGCATATACCGAAGCCTAAACCAACGGTAACGACTGTTGGCGGGCCAGAAATTAATGAATCTATACCGCTCCTACGAACAAAAAATCCTCCATTAGGCATGCCAAGAAAAATCGACTACATTGTGCCAGTTATTATAACAATTGTCGCTTTACCGATATTAGGTGCTGCGATTTTTGTATTATATAGGCGCGGTCGAGATTGCTGGGATAAGAGGCACTATCGAAGGATGGATTTTTTGATCGACGGAATGTATAATGACTGATACTCATATGAAAAGAAGTTTGTTCCATGAGATTAAATGCACGTTATGCAAGAAGCAATCAATCGCCAATTTCCGCGTTCTTCCATTTGCAAATGCAAATTTTATGTATGTTTTTCAAAATAGCTAATTAACGATGTACTTCGCATTGATTTTTTCTTACATAACGATATAAATGTCCAAACGATACCTATCAGAATATATCAAAAATTTTGACACTTTTATAAACGTATTGAACGATATATTGTGCTAATCGTAATATCGTAATAATACTTATCTAAGCTCACTACATATTGATATCTAAATTTGCTATACAATTTTTTTATTATACTATTGCCTTAATATTATAGACATGTTAAGGTTTAAGATATTATATTGAAAAAGGAATATTGTTGATGGTAACGTTTTTATAAATACTTCATTGCAGCTTCTAAATTTAATATAATTTTCTAAAATATTTTTAAAATATACATATGTTTATTATATGTATATATACACGTATATATAGATAGATTGAAAATTTTATTTAAAACTTGTTTTTGTTAATGTGTAAACAAACATAAATGTTGTATGTCTTTCCGAGACGATTTTCCTTTTCTTTTTGTATATGAATGTACATGTCGCATTTGAGATGCCACCTCTTGTATTAGAGAATATAATTTATCAAGGGTCTAGTTGCCAAATTTGACAATAATAATTGAATTTATATAGACCCAGGACTATGTCGATTTAACGGAATTGTATTGTGCTTTGGAAGTGCTCTCTCAACGAATAGTATCGCGCACGATCTTTCCTGCAAAAATTGTAGTTTATAACAAGGATAGTTTGATCTATGAAATGCGATATTGTACACAAATTTTACCAAAGAGCGATTTATACAATGTAAGGGTAATTATTTAGAATAGGGAAGGCAGCACCGATGACCTTGACCTTGACATATGTTATCGAGGTCGTGACCCTGAGTAACCTCCGACAGGTTTTAACCGTCGCTCGTCCTTCGTTAAAAAGTTATTAACAAAAAAAAGTTTAGCACTTAAATAATTTATTAAATCGTCATAGTTATACGTTAAATTAATGAATTCATGAAACAACATGATTGTACATACATATAATAACACTCTTACTATGGCTAGGTTTGAACGTATACTGATAGTGTATTATTAATATTACTGCAAAATCAAAATAAACACAACCCTCGCGTGGAAAGTCGCGTGAACACACGGTGGGGGAGGGGGTGCAAGGGGGCCTACGGCCCCCCCTCTCGCACCCACCCCGTCGGTAGAGGTTTTCCCCAACAGTACAATCATAGCAATAGTACAATCATGGAAGTCGTGTGCTCCTGTGCAGGGGGGGTGTGAAAGTTACTTTAATTGAAAAGTTTAACGTTTCTGAACAGGGAAAGGTGTAGAATAATACTTAACATCATACATGTATAGCAGAAATAATACGTTAATTTTTAAACTTCTTTTGTTAATAACTTTTTAACGAAGGACGAGCGACGGTTAAAATTTGTCGGAGGTTACTCAGGGTCACGACCTTGATAACATATGTCAAGGTCAAGGTCATCGGTGCTGCCTCCCCTATTCTAAATAATTACCAATGTAAGTTTGTTAGTTGCATTTTTTGTTTGCATCTGTAAGATTGTATTTTTTTTACAGGATAATTTACAAATGTTTAATCCATTTCTAAATTCACCTAGGATACTTTATATAATTGCCATATACGCGCAGGATATCATTGAATATTGTTTCGCTATGTAAATATAGTAGCCAATAATTTGTAAAAAATTACTCAATTTGTAAAACCTTTTGAGATTGCAATTTTTAAAAGCAAATTACGTTTTAAGCCTTCGAAAATCTATATTTTATTAAATATACGCGAGAAAAAGCAATAATAATAATTATTTTTGTACTATATCTATGTAAAAGAAAAATATTCATATTGTTATAAAAAAAAATATATATATATATATTTGCAAATTGCACGTTTTACATCATTTCGTGCACCTATTAAAATGATATACATCATCTTATAAAGATTTCATATTGAGAAATAAAGAGAAAAAGAAAGAAAATGACGTTTGTAAAGATTTTATTAATAAGCTTATCATATAGGTATATAAATTCAGTAACGATAATAATACATGTTAATTACAAGCCTTATGGCTTCTGACTTCTATTATATACATTAGACCGTTAACTTGCCTAGTTGTCTCAAATACATGGCTCTAAAAAGTATGTACGTACATATAACTGAATCATGTGTATACGCGATATTAAAGGGACACTAGTATATATATTAATTACATAAACTAATAGGTCTAACATATATGTATACTGTTACATTGGCCAATAGCAGTGCATCAGCCTTATCACATGATCTTTTATGTCACTCATATACAAAGTTTTTCAAAAGTGTGGAAAACACGTAATAATTTTTGTAAAAACGAAGATATTGGAAAACTGTGAAATACGTGTTCCATCATTTCAAAAATACTACCTTCGCACCACAACACACACAGTGGCAAATGGCACGTCTTCTCTGTTCATCGTGTCGTCGATAAACAGTTGTTTAAATTCGATCGATGAGAACAAGTCCAAAATTTGTCCGAGTTGATCGGGGCTTTTTGATGATGATCAAAACGGTGACAATTCAAAACGGTGGTCATATAAAAAATGGAAATTTCATGTACTTGGCATTAATCAGGATCACTCATCTCGCTCTTGCGCGAAAACCATCTCCCTGGAGATGGTTTTTCGATATCTTCGTTTTACAAAAATTATTATGGGATTTTCATATTTTTAGGAAACTCTGTACAATACTAGGTACGATATAAAATGATGGAGTTAGTGTCATTAACGGTCTAGTGTATATTATAAAAGTCTATGCTCCTGACTAGTCACCGCTGCCATATTAGATCATGACGTTATAAGCAAGAAATGAAACGTTGAAGTTTCTTGCATGTTATTTATAAATAAAGGAAATTTAGATAAAATAAAATGATGAAATCGTTTTAAGACACTTGTAAAAATGTTCGACCCATTTTTATATACGCTCCCTTTGACAGTCAATAGTCATAAAAGGCAATGAAATAAAAATACATATATTTAATAGGTTTTTAAGCCTATTTTCATTTTGCATTTTTATGATTATTTAAAGGTGATTCAAGGTGGTAAAAATCGGCGTAAAAATATAATATTTTACAAGTGTTTTGAAGCAATTTCATCATTTTGTTTTATCTAAATTCTCTTTAATTACAAATAACACGCAAGAAGCTTCAATGTTTCATTTCTCGCGTATGACGTTATAATCCAATATGACCGCGACAATTAGTCAGGAATCTCGAGCATGAAACCTGAAATACAATATTGAAAAGCATAGACAACGGAATAACAAATTTCAACTTATCAGAAACCGTGTATCTGGAGACACGGTAGTGTCTCGGCGCTAAGCCAAGCGCAGCGACACTGCCGTGCCTCCTTTACGCGAACCGGCGAGTTGCGGAGGTTTAAGATTATCGGATCTCAATAACGGCTGAACTGATCAAGTTCTATATACGCTCAATCGATAGCTATCGTTCGGACGTATAATTAAGTGCTTTTATTTTTTTTCTACGTGCCCTACAAGCGGACATATCGCGACGCAAAGTTCCAAACTACCACTTTTCAGATTCAGATACGTCGTTATTATTATTATTATCATTAACGTCATCGACCACATTCCGCGCATTCCATTTGGTGTCCTTCTGACATTCTTTACGCAAGGAGCGCTAGCGATGACAGATCAGCGAGCGCTGCGATCTGTACTATACTACGTAACTACGTATGTATTCGATAGTGCCTCGGCCGTTTTTTCAAAACAATAGGATCGGTAAAGTCGGTAATAATGAAACACGCTGGTAATGTTATATATACCATTGTTAGCAACAAACATGCGTCTTCAAAGATGTCTAATCTAACAATTAATGCTAAGTTAAATTCTATCAAGTTAAATTTTATATAGAAAACCGTCGTCTAGATATTTTGATATTACTATTATAAGACGATGGGGGTGGGATTTTTTAATTGAGTAATAGTAACTTTAATTGTATACAAACTTACCTTTTTAAAAAAAGGTAAAAAAAGCGCTAAGCGTGCGTGCTTCTCGTATGGAAACCACCATTTGGGCCGGTTTCACCAACGTCAATTACTTAATCGGCCGTGGAACTGATGACTAATTGCGTTTGCTGTTTGATGAAATTCTTTGTATATGATACATTCCAACCCAAGTTATAATGGCTTTATTCCCCTTCAAAAATTATTACATGAAAATCATATCACAAAATTTACTAAATCTAATGATAATGGGTGCGGTCGAGTTGCCGCTACGAATGTTTTGAAGCATTTGATTAACCAATCAGAAGAAAGAATATCACTCATTGACCAATAAAAAAATGCTTCGAAGCATTCGTAATGGCAACTCGACCGCACCTAATATGTATCATCTGTATAAAAGATTTGATATCAACAATTTTGACGCCAAGTTAAATTCTGTTAATTTAATATCACAAAATTTACTAAATCTAATGATATATATGTTTCATCTGTATAAAAGATTTGATATCAACAATTGTGGGGCCAAGTTAAATTCTGTTAATTTAATTAAATTTATCAAAATTTTATGTATTATTCGTAAAAAATTTGATAGCCAAATTAAATAATGAATATTAATCTAATATGTATTATTTGTACAAACGATTTGATATCAACAACTGTGGCGCCAAGTTAAATTCTACTACAAAATAAAAAGTAAAATCTAAGTGATACTATCTTTATTATTTACTTAATCCAAATGGTACTATCTTTAATTTTTATACAATGAAACCTAATTATACGTATACTTATTGAAGAATCTTCCTATTCCAATCCAAATGGTTTAAATTCCTCTTAAATGAAATTATCATAGCTATAATAATAACGACGTATCTGCATCTGATCTGAAAAGTGGCAGTTCGGAACTTTGCGTCGCGATATCTCCGCTTGTAGGGCACGTAAAAAAAAAATAAAAGCACTTAATTATACGTCCGAACGGTAGCTGTCGATTGAACGTATATAGAACTTGATCAGTTCAGCCGTTATTGAGATCCGATAATCTTAAACCCCCGCAACTCGCCGGTTCGCGTAAAGAAGGCACGGCAGTGTCGCTGCGCTTGGCTTAGCGCCGAGACACTAC